ATGACCCTCTGTCACTTCAGCTCCAGCGGCCTTAGCAAGTTTTGGATCCATGGGAATGTTCAATACAGGTTTACCAGTCAGATCATAATACGCCTCCTGTAGTGTGCAACCTTCAATGTTTTCATAACCAGTGTAAAACTTTGCGTATGCCTTCTCAAGAAGTAAGGGCCACCAATGCTCCGTAGGGGAACGCATGTAAAGCACCTCATCTTCATCCAGTGGAATGTAGTCGTCAATTTCCACTACCTCCCACTCTTTACCACGAAAGAACTGAAAAGTGTAGCGCCCGTCTCGACGTACATTCTTGGAGACGAAGCAGTTCTGGATCACGTCGGGGAAACGGACCAGAGTTGACAGGGCTGTAAGCATAAAGCACTCATAGTGGTTGCCCTGGCCAAACTGCTCACGTGAGAACTCAGGAGGAAGAAGAGGTTGGTCCCAACCGCCTGGGTAAAGTTCACCAATGCGGACCCAATGATTTGAGAGATGTTTGTTGTTCTGCACAAATAAATTGTCGATAAAGACATTATTACTATCGGGTGGCACCGCATGGGTAACCTTTTGGGAATGCATACTCTTTCAAAGTAACTGTAAAGGAAAATAATAATAACAAAGGTAACGGAGATGTAATCAACCACAGGAAAGAATATCGAATCACAAAAGACTTTCGGCACCCGGTATTTTTCTGCCTTTAACCTCTCTGGTGAATCCTCTAGTATTGCTTCCCCCTGTAGTTTAGTAGAGTAGACTCTGTAGTACCCAGTACTTTTTCTGAGGTCTGTTTAATAAAGTACTTCTTCTGAGCTGACTGTCTTCCTCGAGTTCTCGTTTTTTCTTTGTTTTTTTTTTTTTTTTTCGATTCCTTTTCTTTTTATCTCTTTGTACACAAACCCTTCTCTGGGTTTTCTTTTTCTTTCTGATTTGCTCCTTTTTATTGTGATTTAATCACCTTTTTCTTCTTCTTACATCAGCAGCAAAAACAAAGAAAAAAGAAACAAAAAAACATTCAGATATAAAGTATTCCACTTACCAGGCAATAAAAGAACAACATGTCAAGTATACAACAGAAGAAGAAAAGGGGGAAAAAAGTTGATAATTTCCCCTTTTTTTTTGACTTTTTGTTTGTTTGTGTTAGAGTGAATCATTCATTGACTGATAAAGAGTTTGAACAAAAAGAGTGCGTAAGAAAAAAGGTAAAAACAAAAAAAAAAAAAAACAAATAAAGAAAACAATGGCAGTGTGGATCGAAAAATAAAATAAAAAAAGATAAAGAAATGAAAAAGAGTAAAGAGTAAGAGCGATAGAAACAAAACAGAAAAAAAAAACGATGTGAATCCCACACCATGTATACGTGTATGTGTATCAAATATCTGCGGTAATAGAAATGAAAAGAACAGTGAGAAAAAAAAAAAGGAGAAATAAAAAAACAACAACAACAACAACAACAATAAGACCCATAAGAAAAAAGAAAGGAAAAAAAAAAAAGAAGTACATGAAAAAAAAAAATCTAATAGATAGAAACAAATTTAAAAAAAAAAAAAAAAAGAACAAGAAAGAAAACAAAAATAAAAAACTGTAAGAGTAATAAAAAGGGACTTTGATTTCACAGTTCCCCTCATCACATGGACAAACCACCTATTCCTCTACGTGCGTTTCCTATGTTGTATCTCTTCACATCCCATTTCTTTCCTTCCAGACTCCCTTTTTTTTTTTTAATCTTTTATTTCCCTTTTCAATAACAGCTTTGTCTATTTGTTTATTTGTTGGTTAGTTTGTTTTTTTTTT